CTGACCTTAAGGTTGGCAGCCCGATTCGTTACAGCCTAATGAAATGGAAACCCACTGGTTGTTCTGTAGGAGAAAAATGAGGCTATCTGTTCCCCTAACAATTTGTGGTCTTAGAAACCCCAAGGAACAGTTCTACTTTGTCCTATAGGGGTTCTATGAATTGGAATTGATTCGATGGCAGTTTTTGGAATGGGTACATGAAGCCCTTTGTCTTTAGTTAAAAACCAAAGCAGATGCTGCCTAGTCAACGCCAACTAATTTTTTTTGAAGTAGATCAACAGGTGTGGATCTGAACTGCCAACCTTTTGATGAGTAACTGAACACTTAATTTTCTGTGTCATCTAGATTTCTTATAAACAGTTAAGGTGCTTACAAACAGTTAAGAAAGGTTGAAAGTTCAAACCTACCCAGAGGCCTCAAAAGAAAGGACTAGTGATCTACTTCCAGAAAAATCAGTCATTGAAACCTGATGAAGTCCAGTTCACTCATACACACTCAGGGTCACCATGAACTCACTCCATTGGCATCAAGCTCAGAGAGGTGCAAAAATCTATGTATGTGACAGGTCTAAAACATAAGTAATTCTTGACAAAGAAACTAAGGTGTCATGGCATGTTTGGCTAAAGAAAAGGTAAAACTGGTCACTGTCATAAGGAGCTCACTCAAGGTAGGGACCAATATTAAGAAGCACTGGTAGGTTTAGTATGCTATGATTTGGGCTGCTAACAGCAAGGTCAGCAGTTCGAATCTACCAGCTACTTCAAGGGAGAAAGATGAGGCTTTCTCCCTCAGAAACCCTATACAGGATTGCTATGAGCCAGGACCTACTCTAATGCCCACAAACCACCACCCACCACCACCAGGGATCAACACTGGCCTCCTAATTGGAATGTGCTTTGAATTTTGCAATATTGTTTCCTCACATTATCCTTAATAGCTTTCAAAACACTAGTCACTTCTCTTCTACCCATCACAGGTTCCACTTACAGGAAGAGAAACCATCTGAAAGGCACTTTTTCAAGTTCCTGCTTAAAACTTTCACCTAGGTGTAATTCTTTCCTCATTCCCTCCAATTCAAATGAAGATGGTATCTCTCTAAAGATACCTAGATCTTATCTTTTCAAGGGCCTTGTTGTACTGATTATCTCTTTTCCTCCCCTTATCTCTTTTTCTACACTGGCTTATATTCCCTTCAGTATTTGTTAAGTGCCCATGAATCAGTTCCAACCAACAGTGACCCTGCATAGGGTTTCTGAGGAATATCTGGTGGGTTTGAACGCAGATCTTGAGATTAGCAGTCCAATGTTGATCCTACAGTGTGCCATTTAAGCCTCCTCAAATTTCTCCCTTGTGAAAACAACCCTCCTTCAACATCAGTTACCATTTTGGTTACTGCCTTATCTCTTTGCTCATTAAAGTCAGACACTCTGAAGAGTAGTCTACAAAGCCATTTCCTCTTTTTTCACCTTGGTAACCACCTGGTGCACTTGATCAAACTGTTGTTGTTAAGTGCCATCGAGTCAGTTCCAACTCATAGCGATCCTGTATAGGGTTTCCAAGGAGCAACTGGTGAACTTGAACTGCCAACATTACAATTCAAACCAACCTTGTAGTCCAGCGCATTAACCCACAGTGCTGCATAATCATTTAAAAAGCATACTGTGGATGGATAGATGTAATTCTGAGGATACAGGTGGATGACTGACTGAGCTGAGAAAGTGTTTATCTCTCTGCTGTGTATAGATAATTTGCTATGTTTTAATTTTGAAAAAAAAGTTATAGAAAGTCAGTACTGCACCACAAGCATGAAAACTAGGGGAAACAGCGGTGACACACAATCAGCCCTTACAAGAGAGCAAGAGCCATATCATCTATATCTTTCATCCCACCGTAGGGACAGCTTGGGCCCAGAGCTGCCCTTGCGGCGGGAGCCAGTTTATGGCGTGGGGGGCCTCGATCTCCGAGTCTGGGGGTGAGCCGAGCAGCTCCCGGCCAATGGCAGCTCTTGAACTTACACCTCCAGACGTCAGCGCGGCTGTGCAAACGGATGTCACACAGCTGGCTCGGAAGCGTCTCCTCCTGCCCACAAGGATGGGGGGCGCAGCAGCTGCCACAAAATCGGGGCGCTGAGAGGGAGGAGCGCGACTCGCACCCCGCACCCTCTCCAGTCGCTTTTTCCCTGCAGTCCCCAGTCGGCCCGCGGTCCCGGGTGAGCACTCTAGCGCCGGCGTCTTCGCTCAAAGCGCGCTGCTGCAGCTGGCTCCGCCCCCTCCCGGAGCAGACCGCGCGCTCCCGCGGCCCTGAGCCGTGTCCCGGGCGCGCGCGCCACCGGCGGAGCCGCAGTTAAAATGGTCCGAACGGGACCTGGCGCTACCCCTGCCGCCGTGGTGACTGACTGAGCCGCCGGGCAGGGCCAGGATTGAGTCGCCTAGCCGGCAGGCTCGCTGTCTCCCTCGCGTCCCCAAAGCTCGCTCCCATCGTTCTCCCGGCTTCCCTGGGCAAAGCATGTAGCCCCCGTCGGGCATCGGGGCGGCCCGCAGCTGACGCCCACCCCCCACCGTCGCGTGTGTGGTGTGTCCGTGTGTGCGTGTGTGCAGGGAGGGCG